AGCGTTCACAAACAAGGGCAAGCACGGCATGGGAGACCCAACGCTAAGTGACCCGCTGACCACCCGGAGCCAGCACTACTTGGGCCCACAGCCATACTTCATAACCAACAGCAAGACAGAAGTAACTGTTTGAGTTTGTTTTCTTTCTCTTTTTTCTTTTTTTTTTAATGAAATCCTTTAAAAACCACATGCAAATGTATACACAACACAAACACTCAACCAAAAGGCAAAAAAAAAAAAAGAAATTAAACAACAAAAAAAAAGAGTAAACAGAAGGAAGGAACTTCCACCTGGACACTCGTGGTATCCAGCCAGCTGTAGGCCGAAGAGTGGGTTAATACCATTCAGCAATACACACTGAAGGTTGAATTATAAACTCCATTTGTATTTCACAATGGAACACAAACCCTTGTGACTAAATTTTTTTACTTGAAACTAAAATCCATGATGAGAAGTAGCACAATCTAGAGAAACTTTATGTCTGCTTAAACACTTACACTATGTTCCTGCCTTGAGACAGAGGAAGAGAGAGAGAACAATATGCTGTAATATATTATTTCAGAGAGGAATTTTGTATAAAACCTATTAAGAGTCACTAGACCTGTGAAAAACCGAGAGCAAACATCTTGGTATGATCCCTAACATCTACTATTGTATTTTCACACCATCCTATAGAGAACGCAAAAAATATATATACAATAAGGGATAAAGACACTTTCACAAGAAATTTATAAAGACTGTTATGATTAAGAGCATATGGGACCTTTCTGGCTGGTAGAGAATTCAGCAGGATGATAACAGCAGAAGATTTCATTTCAGTTTACTTCGTTTGATTTGAAATTTTTGGGAACCTCCAAAATAAGAAGAGACACTTCATATGACACAGAAAGCTGCTGGGGGGAAAAGGGCATCAGAATATTCCCTCTCAGTCCTCCTGTTTTCAGGCAGATGGTAACTATTCTCACTTTGCAGACTGTCAGGATTTTTTCTTCACCTAAATGTTTTGCCTATCTTCAACTGCTTCAGACTGAAATTAAGCGTGGGTGGTGCCTTTACTGTATTACTATTGTTCAATGACAGTCTTGTTCTTCAAAGTGACCCCTCTGTTCCTTTAAGCTATTTCCTCATGTTTTGCTAAGGATGACAAGGGTTCTGCCCTGCTCAGCCTCCTCTGTTTGTTCCGAAAGGAAACTGGACTACATTTCCATGCAGTGGTTGCACAGTCAAGACTATTTAGTTAGCCCCTTCATTTTCCCAATTTCAACTTTTCCCCTCTAGTCTCTCATTTTGTATTTGCTTTTAGCCATGGTAGTTCTCTGTAGTTCAAGTAAATGTTATCTGGTAAATTGTCTCTATTGTTTGGCTTTCTCTAGTGGTGTTCCCTCTTGGTGGGCTGTGTGGTGGAAGAGGCTGGTCCAGCCTCAAACATCAGAGATCTGGGGTTAAACTAAACAAACAATTGGACTCATGGTCTTGACTGTGGTTCTGATGAGCAGGATGACTTGTTTGTGTGAATAAAACCAGTCAAACTGGGCACTGATAGCAAACTCACAGTCCTGGGCCTTTAAAGGCTACAGCATATCCACAAAGAGACAGAGTTGGGATGGGATGGCAGGCAATGCATTCAGTATTTCAGTAAATTCCTGTCCTTCCCCCAATGCAAGTCACTTGGCTAAATCCCAACTAGCTGTCCTACTACAGTTGCATTCTCACCAGCTGTCAATTCTTTGGAAGATTAGGTCTGGAAGAGTATTCAGGGAGGAGTGAGAACTGTTATGTTGTAAGAAGAATTGGAAGTGGCATTTCTTACTGTACTCAACTGACTGTCAGTGCTTCTGCTTAGTCAAGGATGCAAGGGCTAAGATTTTGAAATCTGGTTAAATGGAGATACCATTTTTTTTAGCTATATCAAGATTGATTTGCATCCTGAGAGCACCGGTATCTCTCCATAAGCGTGCTGCTAAATTTTATGATCATATGTTTTAAGACTATCAGAAGTGGACAAAACCCACAAGACAAATACTTTGCACACAACCCAGACTCTCCACTATCTTACTTTTATTCCTTTAATCTTTATTGCCTTCACAACTGGCTGACTTAATTTGACCCTTTATGGAATGTTGCTGTTAATCCATATGCTTTAGATACACATTACAGCTGCACTCTTAATTCACACAGGTTTCGTGTAACTTGAGCATATTTTATGTGGAAATATTTTAGTAACTGTATGTTCTGTAAGTAAACCCGTGTTAATACTTGTTAACTACAGAGTTTATGATACCAATAATACTTCCTACAATAAAATGTTTGTTTGTTTTTTAAGAATGTTTATTTGTAAACATATGTATTCACTATATTACTATGAATTTCTTACCTGGCAATAAAACTGATTCTAAGTGAATCCAACTTGCTGGCTCATTCCTAAACTTGTATCACTGCCAAGTTTGAGTCTAAACTGAGCATTTGGAGCATCTCACTGCAGCCAGTGGGATTCATATCAGCACAAAGGATGGTATGCCTCTGCAAGTGTGAAAAAGGGGTTATTTGGAAATCAACTGTATGTTGTCTGCATTATGGAGAAGCTGGGTGATGTTTGAGGCTCTTTCCAGGCCCAGCCATTGTGTGACTCTATGACTGCCTGTTACATACAATGTAACACAAGGTACACAGGGATTGGCAGCCCTGCAAAACTTCATATGCCCTGTAACCCTCCAGGCACCACACACACCTTGTGCCACTTACATAAACAGAGGATCGGGTCTCATGAGATTTCACAATATGAGGTGTCTCCATGTCTCGCAACTTTAGATTTTAATAGATCTGGGAAAAGACTCATGCTTTGCTCTATTCTTATAGAATTTTGGGTTATTGAATTTTGGGTACTAAATAAATAACCCCAGTCCACAAATCCCTTTTGTACACAATCTTGAGCACTTTATTTAATCCCGGTCTCTATTCCTGAATACATGAAGGACTTCCAATGATAAATATAGTCTTCACTGTAATTATATCATCTTTCTATTTGGCATAGATAATTTTATTTTGCTAAAAACAGTTATGACAGGCAATATTATTGTATTAAACTATATAATTTCATATATCATCTGCTGCTGAAAATGTGATCATAGGATGAGTACCACATTACCAAAAAGTGAACATTGTTATTTTTATCAGTGGGAAAATCATACAGCTCTATTTTGAAAAGTGTCTGTAAAACAATCTTGGAATTCATGCTTTAGACATTTTCAGACACAAATTTTGTTCAGCCTGCAAGCTAGGTGAGTCCTCATACCTGCCAACTTGGTCAGTGACATTAGCATGAAACCAGGACCAAATTAGGGTACTGCTTATACCCCATGTCTGCACAAAAGCTGTTGTCATATAAATGCAAGTGAGGGATGCAACCAACATTTCCACAGAAGATTCACCATGAAGAGAGTGACACACCTCACTCAGCTTTGCAGGCCCTAACATGTTAGCAAAGCATGAGAGATGTATCTGTCCCCAGTGACAGCCCTTTGTGATAGCCTGATCCTAGTTTTGGGCATTCTTCCTATGTCAGAATTTGCCAAATAAACAATCTTGAACAGGCCATACTCCCTGAATAGGCCCTTTTCATCCCACAGCCACTCTTCTAACAAGATAATGTTATAGTTCAATAGCAAGGTGTTCTCCCTTTAATTCCACTTTTCACCTTCAGAGATAAAGGACCCATTCAGGGAAAGCTTTGGATTCAGACTCACCTGAGGCTAAGTTCAGAACCCCCATCTTTACTGCTGCTCCAATTTCATATCTCAGAAAAGAATAAGATGCAATTTACACCTTAGTTCATGAAGCACTGCTGTATTGTTAGGTCCTTCATGGATGCATGAAGAGGCTCTGTACCTCTCTTTCTCTGCAGGGAATTTGAAGCTAATTTTTCATCCCCAGGCAATCATTCTGTGAAAGGTTTAAATTTTTATTAGTAAAGCTAGAATTCAGAGTTAGAATTCAGTTTTTGTCTATGCATTCTGTAATACACTGCTACACACAGTTGCATCTTGTCTATTTAAGTCAACTCTAGCTACCTTCACTTGGCAACTTCTCCTGCATTTACATGGTTAGAAGCATTGTTGCTCATTAATAGGGGTTGATGTGCTGGCAGAGTTCATCTTCTGACCCTGCACACCAAGGCTTGTGTGCAACCCTCACAATAAATAAGGCTGGGCAAACAATATGCTATCAAAAGTGATCATTTTAAATCAAGAGAGAATGTCGGGTAGTGTTGCTGATGTTTAATCCAAGGTTGAGATACAAATAAGAGTTGAATATCAGTAATAAACCAGTGGTCATTGGCAGCATTATGTGATAAAGAAACAAGTCCTCCCCAGCAGCAGGTGTGCCAGTGAAGCCACTGACACTCCCTGAGCAGAAGCACATTCTTCTTTTCACTGCATGCAGCAGTTGGCCTAAAGTTCTCTGGGATTTGGGCTTACACTAACATTTTGATCGCTGTAGTTATTAGAGAGACTTTGGCCAATTTCAGTGAATATAGTCCTTGAAAGGAAAGAGTGCTTTACCTGTTACTTACTATTTCTTTAAGCAACAGACACATTGCAAAAAACTTGGATAGGGAGTTGGAACTAGATGATCTTTAAGGCCCTTTCCAATCCAAACCATTTATGATTCTATGATTAATTCTCTGCCACAGGCAAAGAGAAGCTAGGCTTTGCTTTGTCCTTACAGGAGTAAGAAAGCTCAAGGATGGCTGCTTTTCTTCCTCTTTTCAAGGCAGAGTTACAATTCAGCAGGAGTGTTTCATCCACATCCTGCAGAAGACTGCACTGGCTACTGAGCACAGAGGCAGCCTGTTGACTCCCTCTTATACTAGGAGTGAAAAAATCATGCAGTTGAAAGACATAAAGGTAGACTGCACTACTGTGGCCTCAGTACTGGCTTTGCAAGTTGGCTGCTATTTTCCACCACCCCTTTGAAGAGATCAGGAGAACTGTGTGGTATTTTCACAACTGATGCTCTCCAGTGAACTCCTGCAGCCTTCTTGAGCACCCCCTCACACCCAGCCCCTCACCTGGGCTCTCACCTTTCATGCCACAGTAGCAGTGATGGGAAACAACCCCACTTTGTGCACACCTGCATGCACAGACACATTTTATATCACTTGAGCTTTGGAGCTTGACTCTCTAAATCATTTGTGTCTGCAACACCATTGCAGGGTATCACTCACTTGGAAAATCCACCTAACTGCCTCAATACATTTTAGGGGCCTTATTTCAGTTTTGAAGATGGGATCCATATCCCTAATTTACTTTACAGCTTTTGAAAATTAAATACTAAAGAATGTGACATTCTACAGGAGAGACCGTCTAAAGTTTAGGGATGAAAAGTGTCCTTTAGGGCTGTAATGTATTTTGCCATTACTGCATTACTGCTCAGGGAATAATACTAAGGATGATAGAGAGCAACTTGACAGGATTCATTAAGGCAGAGACAGCAAGTGTATGCTGTGAGGCACAGGACTCTGCACAAGTCTGCCTATGCAGAGCAAACTGCTCTGATTTTTACTAACTGTGATTTATGAGTTTGTTTTTGTGGTTTTGTCTTTTTTTCTTTTTTTTTTCCCCGTGCTAAAAGATGAACCTCAAAAGCACAACACTCAGAGTGCTCATAACAAAGGTGCCCTGTTGAACACAGCAAGTAGCACAACATTGTACAGCATGACTATGACAGCAAAGGCCCTGAGCCCACACTGCTGAGTTAGTGGCAGGATTGTCAGCATGTGGAAAACCAAAACTCACAGACAACACACATTCACTCTTTGATATGCAGAACTTTTAGACTTCACTACAAGTGATTTTTCTCAACCTGACATCAACTAAATGGTATAGAAAAGGAAATGCAGCAGATACACCACAGGATTGCACAGATCTCCTAGACTGAGTTACAGCTGAGACTGCAGTTCAACAAAATAATGACTGCAACATTGCCTTGTAGCAAACCACAGTTATCTTGCCAGCATCTCATCTCATCTCATCTCCCTGGATGTCTTGCACCTTTGACACAGCTCATAATGAGTAGGGAATACTTCATTCTAAGGCTGTTGCTTCGCTTCAATGTGCACATTCAAAGTCCTTGTGAAAGACAACTACTCCAGCCATTAGGATACTGGAGTCTGCATAAAGTCAAAATCCAGGTATAAATCTTATCACTTTCTACAAACAGCAGCAAAGTATATTGAATTTTGAGTCCCAGATACAATTCCCTTATGAATTTCTGCCTAGCTTCTTTCAAATGCTCCCATGCGTCCCATACAGACACTTTGTAGCTTCTTTGACTTTTAGTTAATGTTTAGCTGCTTACCTACTAAGATGTTTTTCATGTTTCTACAAAAAATGAGCATCACAATAAATACTGGTATTCCACAGGCTGTTACTTCACTGTGTACAATGTATTTTATTAGGTGAAATATTCTCCTAAGACAGCAGTATTGGAGGAGTATTAGCAGGAAATTTTCCTAACACCCCAAGATCTACTTATGATCATTGTTCAGTTATCTTCAGGATTGCACTTTGTTGACAGGTTAGTAATATAAAAATGTACTTTTTTAAGAGCTCCTATATGCACTATAAAATCTATTCTCCCATTTTAAACATGTTTCCTTTCAAAATGGGAAGACAATACAAATATATTTTCAAAAAGATTGTGTCTTTATGGACTGTGAGTAAACATGTAGAAGAGAGGATATGCTATACTTCAGTAAAGGGAATATATTGAGTGTTCCACCAGCTCAAATCCTATTCCCCATATCTATAATATTCCAGCTATAACTGGCATTATAACTGTGTAATAATACTTTATCATACAATAATACCACCGAGGTTGAAGTATAGCCAATGCATTTAAACAACTTCAGGGAAAGAAGTCAACTTTGTAATAACGATTTCCAGTATGTTCTATTACCTTTGTTCACTCTTCAACTGTGACCTTTGAGGATGGGTCAAGCTTCTGAAAAAACCAGAGAGTTGCAAAACTGTATGGCTATTCTGTGTAAAATATTACAGTAATTAACAGCCTTAAAAACTCTTTTCTATTGTCTGACAGTGGGAGGAATATATAGTGTATCACACACACAAGAAAAGAACAACCAAAAAAAAGGGAAAAACATGGACAAGACATCCTGGTGTGCAACTCCTTTTGTTAACACTGCCAGCATCACAGAACACTCCCCAGGGAGCAGCTTACCAACACCAGCAGAAGTAAGCTTGCATTGACAGGGTTAAGCAGCCAGAGGACATTACTTCAGAAAGATGTAATGTTTTTTCCTTTCTTCTCTGCACTGCCTCTGGGGATTGGCTGGTTGATTCTGTTTGGCTGGTAAATTTGGGGTTTGTTTATGTCAGAATGGGCATATTCATTTCACCAAACAAAGTAGATGAAAAACCAGATTATATAAAAAAATCCACTAGATCAAGAAAAAGGTAACAAAACTTCAGAAGTGACTTGGCTGCAGAAAGGAGAAACATATAGACTGGATAGTGCTGCCTGCTAATAACTAGAGAAGTTTTATACCATCTGCTAATTTCCCCTTTGTCAGCTGCACAAGGGAACCACATGAGAGACACCATAATAAACAGAGGTATTTTTTCTCCCTTGGAGATCATAAGTCTCCAGAACCTGTGGCATATATGTTCACTTACACCCAAGCTGTTAATATATACAAGTGAGAAGAGAACCAGTATTTTTATCAATGTGGAATAGCAGCTGAGACAGACAACACAACCTCCACAGAGGGACATATCCATATGTTACACAAGAATAGATGCCAGAAAAATAATAGTGGCTGGGACTTTTCTTGGAGAAAGGCATTTAAACTAGAGGTCAAAAAACTGTTGTCCATAAAAACTCTGCAAAAACAGATATAGCATGAGATCTTAAAAAAAAAAAAACCCAAACACAAGACATCTGGAAAGTGCCTGCTGTACATTAAGCTCCTACTTCTATTACCCAGTTAGGACATAGATTTGGTTCTGCCAAAAGCCCAGCTATGCATATACTATATTTCTTGATCTTTTCTGCTGCCTAGTAAAGGTTTTCGAATTTGCTGCCAATTCAACACTTGAAGCACAGATGGGAATAAAAAGCATCTTATCTCCTAGCATACGATTCCATATCATGTTTTCTACTATTTTCAAGCTGTACAATCTCTCAAGCTGCATGACATGCCTATTTCCCTTGGGAGACTATCTCTATACACCCAGAATCCTAATTCCTCTGTGCATATTCCTGTGTGTAAGGCTTGAAGTTGTAATAGAGAGGAGATTCTCTCTCATGAAGTTGTAATAGAGAATGAGATTCTCTCAGCTCTTTCTGTCTTGTTCTTTCAGCAACAGGAGAAGAATTGCCAGAAAGATGTTTCATAAGGTTCTCATCCAAAACTTCAGACAAATTGGAATGTTAGCAGGGAAGGCACTTCTGGGCCTTTGTTGGTAAGCAGAGAAAATTTCTCCTGAGCATCCTGATAGACGTGCAGGTTTCTGCCCTGAGTCCACCCAGTGACATCTTAAAAGTCAATGGCTCATTTCTAATGGTAAGATCTCCAATCCAAAAGATGGCAAGCAGAAATCTTCTTTATCAAGATTTCTTAATCTGGCTTGTGTCATTTTCATTAAAAATTAGGGAAATGTGGGTTAAATTAGCCTGCTGTAAAATATTACTGTAATGGAAGAACACAATTATCAGAAACATTCTAATAAACCACACAGGAATCAAGCAACATTCTTCAAAAGTTTGCTTTAAGCTATCAAAACTCATTTGTGTTTCATTGCTGAAGTCAGTGAGGAAAAGTATTAAATTTACGTGTAACTCCTGTCAGCTTAAAAAAAGAGGAAAACAATATAGGAATCCAAAGGTGTTCACCACATAGCATGGGGGCATGAACTAAACAGGATGGAGCACCGAGGATATTGCACAGTATCACATACACACCATTATTCTATATGACAGGAATGAGAGCATAGACAAACACATTTCAGAATAACAGCTCAGGCAGCAGAATTGCAAAATTCAGGACTTGGAATTCTAACACTGCAAAAGCTGCCTATGAGTCAAGAAATTCAGACAGGTCAAATAGTAAATTCACAATCTTCCCACCCTGCTCAGATATAATAAAGCCTCAATATTGTGCCAAGTCTTGGCCATCATTATTTCAGAGATACAAGGGTCAACTGGAAAGTACTAGGGAAGCAAAAAACTGGTAAGGTTATTATAATCAGTTATTACTTAAACAATGAGTATGAATAAGCAAAGGTGTAGAGAAAACAAACTGTGAGGAAAACAATGGAAAAAAAACTGCAGCTGTTTATGCTGCAGAACAGATAATTGAAGAGAAGTATTATGTACAGATTACATATTTTGCAATAGAGTCCCTGAAAAGAGGATAAAAACGTTCATGCCTAGAATATGGAAAGAGTTAGGTCTCATCCTAACCTTCCCTGAGAAGAAAAGGCTTATGAAGAACTTCATCATATTATTCCAGTACTTTAAAGGGTGGCTGAAAAGGGCTGGATGCTCTCTTTTCACAAGGAGCCACATGGACAAGACAAGGTGCAGCTGAGTGCAAGTTGCACTGGGGGAGATTTCATGTCAGTAAAAGAAACAATTTTTTTTTTACAGCGAGAAAAATTAAACACTGCAGTTACAAGGCCAGGGATGTGACAGAATCCCCATCACTGGATTTTCGAGACCTGAGTGAACAGGGTGCTGGATCATGTCATCTAGGCTGAGTAGAACAGATGTCCACTCAAGGTCCCTTCCAGCCTGGGTTATTCTGGGTTATTATTTGAGCTTCTCCACTTATCTCACTGGCAGTGCAGGTAAGGAGTGACATATATAAATATCAAGGCTGACACTGATCCCTTGATATTTAAAAAACACAGAGGATTTTTTTAAGAAGACAAAATATAGTCAGCAACTGACAATAAATCATGTTTTAGATTACATTATTATATCTGTGGAAAGAGCTGCCAAAAAGAAGATAATAACATACACCATGAGAGAAAGGAAAAAACCTCTCATTGGTGTAAGCACAATTTAGACAAGTATTAGAAGAAAACCCTTTTGAATGGTGTGGAATGACAAGCAATGAAATGCATTATATACAGAGGCTGTAGAGTTTCCATTGCTAAATGATTTTAAAGAAACACTGAACTGATTCTGTCAAGAATGATTAGATATTTCTGAAACCTTCTTGAAGAAAGATGGACCATTCAAAGGCCATTACAGCTCTCCTATTATTTTCTCTCCAAGGCCCAAAGCAAAGATGGGGCAGAAAGTCTTTTTCCCTAGGAATGAGTTTTTTCTCACATCCTTTTATCAGTTAGCAGCAGATGAAAGCTGTAATTAGAAGCATAAAGGTATCTGCTGTTTCCCCCAAATTCAATGTTGCTACACTGCAATTGCAAATCAGTGCATAATGTTGCCTAGACAGATTTACACAGCAGCTAAAAGCACATATATTCAGACATGCTACAAACTGTCTGGGAACAAAGAATCCTGAGGCACAAACTACTCCAGCTGTCTTATTACACATTACCAATACCAACTTCATTTTTACATTTAACAGTAGCTCTTTCATTGCATGTCCTTCCCTGGCAGCCAGCCACAGTTTTTAAAAGGTCAAAATCCTGATCTTCAATATAACATCCCACACAGATGACGTGATCTCAGAGGTAAGGAAAGAACCTACCTCTGCAAGTCAGCTCAGAACTACAATCTGAATAAATCATGACTTCCATGAAAGCATTGGAAAGGGCAGAAGAATAAAGAAGGGAGGTAGGACAGGCTTTGAACTATGAAGTAAGACAGGGCTTCCAAAAACCACAGGTTCCCTTTCCTAGCCTGAAATGGACTTCCTCCATCATTTGGGATGAAACAGTTGATTTTCTGTATCAGTTCAGTTAAATAGTTAATCAGTTCCGTTTAAAATATTAGTTATTTGTGTAAAAGAACCTGTCTTCTGACTGTGAGTTTCCTGGGACAAATAATCTAGCCCATACTATTTAAGGGGAAAAGGCAAGGAAAGGAATACATTCCCAGCTGCTCCCAGCAGAGTTCACAGACAAACTCTAGGCTGCTGTGGGATGCACACACAGGGTTAAAGCTCCAAACAGATAAATTGACTGAGAATTTAGGCAATGATGTTATCATGACCAGAAGTTGGCCTTAAGATAAATAAATGGGCTTTCACTATTCCCTTCAGGCATTTGCTGTCCCCTTGGCACCAAGATGAAATCATAATGCGTTGTAATTACAGATAAAAGGGATTTGACATGAGAGCTCTCCAAACAAGCCAAACATCCTGGAAAGTGAAAAAAACCCAACAAAAAAACCCTAACTTGCTTGCATACTCATTCTTCCAAGTCAAGAATAACCATCAAGACAATTTTCTTATTATTAGCAGCTGTTCAGAAATCAGTGCTGGATACATTAGTTAAATCAGTGGGCTTTCCCAGAACAAAAAAAGAAAATTATGGAAAGAGGAGGATTTGAGAATAAATTAGACAGCAACAATGTCAAAAACATGAAAATCTGTGGCTCTGGCATGCAGAAATTACACAAACCTAAACCACACTAACAAAAGATAGATTCTAAGCATAGCTGAATAACTTAAAGTATAATCACCCATTTTTCAGTCAGCACAGAGGATGGACTCATCTACAAAGACACCCATGAGAAAGATTCCAGGGATAAAGAAAAGGTATAAGGAAAAATAAATAGGAAATGTTATGCACTGCTCTACCTGTAACTTGAAAACAACTCTAAATTATAGTTGAGGAAATGTTGCCCTACAAAGGACAGCATGAAAATGCCTTTCTATTTTCCTATGACCAGATCATAAGTCATATGAATAAATTCTTTAAAATTACCTCTGTAAGTGCTGGTACAAGAGTGCATGTCAATAATATGTTTAAAACTCCTGCTATGGCATTAGTAAGTTGTCCATGTGCTCTGTGGGGGAACCCCGTGGGAGTTCATTCTGCAAGGATTCACTTTTTTGACCTAGTTTGAAGCTGTGGGCTGCTGCCAACATCAGACTCTCAGCTGCACAGAGGCATTCCTAAAAGGCAGGAACACTCACAAAAGAGACTTCTCTCCCCTGTCAGGAAACTCAGCAATCCAGGTTATTGGTATTAACCCACTACAGAGAAAAAGCACTATAAACGAAATGCAAGTTGAATTCGTATCAACAATACAGATGTGCACGTAAAGAGCATAGCCCAAAGCTATACTTACAAAGTCTGTACACAGTTTTATTGATGAAGTAGAAAAACTGTTTAAAAATTTAATTGCAAGGATCTCACATTTGCAACAGAAAAACCCCAAGCATGTTAATTCTCTCCTCAGTGAGTTCACCATCAGCAAATGAAGACCATGCTAGGAAACTCAAATTAGCAGCAGCAGTGATTATTTTAATGTTATCCCTTTCATCCCTTAAAGCCTTTTCTAAAAAATTAAAACAAAAACTATCTTAGGATGAATTGTTTCCTCCAAGGTATTTTATCTTTCAAATGTGAAATACTTTGGCCTAAATAACAGAAACTACAGATATGACTGCAAAAGTGCATCTAAAAAAAAGTAATTATCTAGTATAGAACTTCATAAAGCTTTGGGCCACTCATTTTCTGCCTGCTCTCAATACTTGCTTTGCTACTGTTTTACCCTGCTAGTGCTGTTTCTATGAGAATCATTGTCTTCAGTTTTGTAAACCCATATCATAGTCTTTATTAGTAAAGTGTGAGGTATGTTGAAAGAAGAACATTAAACAGGATTTTTATTTTCTCTTGTCCTAGTGAAGATCCCTCTCCCTTGACAGACAGTGCCAGAAAAATACCACATATAATTTTATTTTGTGCTAGTATCACCATCCACAGACAACCATTCTTTGTAAACACTCTAGACCTGGTTGAATAAAATTGTATATAAAATATAAATAGCAACCTACAATTCAGTCTGCAATGTAGAGATAGCTTGTTGATCTCATTAAACTATAGAATAGGTCATTTAATATTTATAAATGTAAATGTAAAACAATTTTTCAGCTATTTCACAGGGAAAATGGTGATATTCATTGAATATTGCTTGCAATCATTATTTGAAAAGTTTGTATACACAAGCTTGATTCTCAAAGAGAAACAAACTGCTAGAAGTATAAATTGGATAAATCGTCTGAAATTACTGATGTGCTGCATGAGGCAGCCCAGCGCCAGAGCCTGCTCAGCTCCTGCTGCTGGGCTTGCTCTGCCCAATGCTCACTTCTGTAGTAACAGTTCTAACCTCCACAAAAAGAGGAATTACCTAAAATCTTTTATTCTGTGGCCTAACATATTAGCTGTTGCTGCATTAGTTTTATTTACTATTTACATAAATTTAAATACATGTATCTATTTTTGATCTAAATTAGCATATAGTAGAAAATCCTAGCTTGCAGATGAAGTCCATTTCTAATGCATCATTTCCCTTTTCCAATGCACTCCCTCTTTTAAGCAAATGAAGTTGCCAAGCTGTAGGACTTGGTAACTTGCTTAGTTACAGACTTCTTATTAAATATTTTCTCTTTTTTTTTTTTTTAATAAAATGCCATTCCTCAAACACTCTGAAAAGGTAAAACAAAACAACAACAAAAACCCAAAACAAAACCAACTGAACAAAAAGGGGAAAGCAAGTCTCTGACTGGAAAAATAGAGAGCAAAGTGAAGAACTGTTTTTAAAGCTCTAGCAATAGCTAATACCAGTTTTTGCAACAAAACCAGTCACTGGTAGCAAGTGGCGAGTTCTGAAAGGCCTGAGCAACTTAAGGTGATTAGGGACCCCTTACTAGTACTTGATAGATTTTGAGAATTTGTTAACATTTTGTTGCTGTTTCAATATAATTTTCAATTCATAGGAATTTTTTTGTTTGGTAGTAGCAATTTAATCTAAACTAACATTTTCAGATTGGAAGTGCAATTTTTACTTCTCTACTGGAGAAAATTGTCACTATAGCATTAATTAGTCTCTTCATTCTCTGTTAAACTGCTGCATAATAAGGGGTTTATTGCTAAAAAATATCTAAGGAATGGAGTTTCATTTCAGCATGAGATTTGCCTAAAACTGTTTTTGGCAACTGAACTGAAAGAAAACCTGCTGGAGGAAGCTCCCTCAAGTCGAAGTCATGAAATCATGTCATAAAAAATTAGGGTTTTCCTGTGTAACTAATAAAAAAGATAAAGAGTTTGTTTTAACAGTTCCCTAAGAGTGACTTAGAGCCAACTGAAGCTTGTGAGTTTTTAGATACAAGATTCCTCTTGATTACAGTATTGGTTTTATGTTTTAAAAGGATGAAATGTTGCCTTTAATAACATGTTTTCACTTCCACACTTTATCTATAGATGAGCTCTTCGGGATTTGCTCTCCATACTCCAGTTTGCTGTAAGTGATTTTGTGTGCCTTGCATGCACCTCCAGCTTTGCAAGCAGTGGCAGAATATACAAGTGGATAAAACATGATCTTTGGAAGGTTGCAATGAAGACAGATATTTCATAAATGTCTAAAAAGATTGATAGCAAGGCAGACAGAATTAAAAAAAAAAACAAAAAAGGTAGTATCAATCTATATAATATCGTTCCCTGTCAAGGAATGGGTGATCTTTAGTGTCTGTAAACAGAAATATTATTCATGGTTACCACAGTGTAATTGCCTGCTGGATTTGAATGAGGTTTGTCTGAATATAAATGAAGAGACTAAGTGAAGATAAAGGAAGCATTGGAAGCTAGAAACAAAAAACCCCCTAAAATTAAAATGATGAAGTCAGATGCACTTCCATTTATTTTGTGTATGAATACGGATGATTATTAAACCAGGAGAATTATAACAGTAGCCAGAGTGGAGCACAATGCGGGGAGGAAAGGCTTCCCAATTCCATTCTGCCAACGTGCCTCAGCCTTGACACCCAGCATTATTGCCAGTGGAACCCTAGGCCTCTTTTAAATAGTCTTGAAATTGCTTCAAACTGCATAAGAAAACCTGGTGATTTTTAGGAAGATAAATGATTGCAGAACTCTCACAAATCCATATCCCTTTGTGCCAAGGGAAATCTAATACCGAGGTCACTGGTGCT